CAACTCCTAATATTGTGTGATTCTGTGAAATCTGCTACATGGCCAGGGGAAGATTTCTGCAACTAGAAGTGAAATTAATTGGATCACTTATCGTAACAGTTCCTATCAAAGCAACCAATGTATGTTATGGCTGGCAGTTTTCACAGAGAGGCTGAGGACTGATAAAGGTTACGAACTTTATGTTCTTGCCTGAGACTCTTTCATAGCTCTGTCTCTGTTGATAGAATTGTACATGACTAACATAATCTTGAGTTCCACCAGTTTCATAACCTCTGTCCACATGTGTCTTCTGCCTCTAATCCTTCTACTACCCTTCACAGAGGCATGCTTGTTTGAGGAGCCACAAGCGTGACATTGTTGTCAATCCTAAAAAGCTATAGTAGCTCTACTGACATGAGGGAAAACACAAAACTCCTCATTAAGATTTTTTATTTCCTTTAGTGTCCCTTGTAGTTTTTTATTTTTATCCCAGTTCTGCAGAGGTGCTGTTTACATGAATAAGAGTCGTATTTTTAAAGTTCAGACTGTGCAGGATTCTGTCCTGGATGTGCTGGTTACTGTGGAGCACACTTGAAATCTTACAGAGATGAGCCAGAGACTTCTGAGGTAATAGGAGCCAACAGGGAAACACCAGTGAAATACCTCAAAGGAGTAAAGGTGTGTTCCTCTAAGGTGATATGGCCAACAGCCCAGCTGAAGTGCCTCTACACCAATGGACAGAGCAGGGACAACAAACAGGAGGAGCTGGAAGCCACTGTGCTGCTAAAAAGCTATGACTTAGTTGCCAGGAGTTGGTATGGTTGGTGCAATGATCGAACTGATGGACTTCACAGTCCTGAGGGGTATGGGTCAGGTGAAATATAAAGTCTAGGCCCTGAATTTTAGGAAAGCAAACTTGCAGCTGTTCAAGGAGTTAGTCAATAGGGCCTCTTGTGAATCTGCCCTCAGGGACAAGGGAACAGAACAGAGCTGGCAGATCTTTAAGGACACTTTCCATAGAGTGCAAGAGCTATCAATCCCCAGGTGTAAGAAATCATCACAAGAGGCGTGGCCAGCAGATCAAGAGAGGTGATTCTGCCCCTCTACTGCACTCTGATGAGACCTCACCTGCAGTACTGTGTCCAGCTCTGTAGTCCTCAGCACAGGAAAGACATGGACCTGTTGGAGCGAGTCCAGAAGAGGGCCACAAAAATGTTCAGAGGGATGGAACATCTCCTGTGAGGACCATCTGGAAGCATTGGGGTTGCTCAGCCTAGAGAAGAGAAGACTCAAGGGAGACCTTATTGCAGCCTTTCAGTACTTAAAGAGGCCTATAAGAAAGATTGGGACGAACTTTTTAGTAGGGCTGTAGTAGCAGGACAAGGGGTAATGGTTTTAAATTAAAAGAGGGTAGATTCAGACTAGATATAAGGATGAAATTTTTTACAATGAGAGTCGTGAAATACTGGAACAGGTTGCCCAGAGAGGTGGTAGATGTCCCATCCCTGGAGATATTCAAGATCAGGTTGGACAGAGCTCCCTGATGTAGTTGAAGATGTCCCTACTAATTACGAGGGGTTGGACTTGCAGGGTAGTTGGAGTAAAAGACCATTAAAGGTCCCTTCCAACTCAGACTATTCTATAATTCTATGATAACAGCCTGTGTCTGTCAGACCTGCTGTATTATCCCCATTTCATAAATTGCCAAGCAGACGAAAAGTCAAGTGTTTGAAATAATTTATTAAGTGCCAGCAGAGAGCTGAAAATAAGCAGTGATGTGACATTCTGCTGACATGCAGAAGATCAAAAGCAACAATTTCACCTCTCTCTGAAAGAGGGTGGCAGCAGAGATGAGCAGTTATAAATTATCTGTTAAATCAGTCATCAGCTGATGGGAAACTGTCACTTGTCTGTGTCTTTGGAATTCTCACCCTCAGATTCCTCCTTTCCCTTCACTAATTACAGTTGGTTTTGCCGGTTTCCCATCCCTTTCTCCATCACAGCTGATGGCATCGTTACTGCTTGACTCAGCCTGGCTGTTAACGTACTGGCGATGGAGATTTGGGACGTATGAAGGAACCAGCTTCCAGCTGCTTCCTAGATTGCCTCAAATGGCATTTATCAGGCTTGTGTCACTGTTAGCAGGATGACCCTGGCTCTGCTAACTGCTTCTCATTAGGCCATTTCTGTCATGAAATGTCAGCCAGGGAAAGTGAGTGGTTGGTGCAGTAAAGACATACTGTCATTCCCTGTGCATTAGTTCAATCTCCTGCTGA